TTTTTCTCTTCTTCTTCTTTCTCCTGTTTAATTTTCTACAGTTTATTCTATCTATTCACTGCAACTGAGAAATACTTACCTCTTTAGCATTTATGGAGCCTCATTTCTTCAAAGGGACAGGAAAGGTGACAGAGAGGAGTAAGACAAGTAAGATAAGATAAGATAGGAGAGAGCAGAGAGGAGAGCCGGAAGGGGGGCGCCCGATCTGGCTTCCCACACCTCCCCGCCGGATCGGGCTGTACGCTCTACCTCCCCACTGCCTCCCAGAAAAGGGGAGAAGAGCAGAGGGGAGAAGAGCAGAACATTTTTCAGTCTTCTTTTTAGTTTTACTACCATGAGGTTAACTGCACAGTCCCCAGGAGGCCCTGAGACGGCTGTAGCAGTCAACCACCAAAAATTCTAATGTTGTGTTTTAGCCTTTCGACGCCCTCTGTTGTGGCAGGCCCACCACCAGTCGATCAATCCTTGGCATGTGTATCGTGGTTAGCTGACTGCCTTAGCTGCCCAAGTGATGTCAGCCTGTTTTAGCCATAGCCAGTGACTGGTCCTCTCAGCAGTGTTAGCTAGTTCTCTTATAGCCTGCCGTTGCGCCTGTCCTCTGATCCCAATCTCTCTAAGCACTTTTGCTGTTGTACTGGCAACAAAGCCCCTGCACCCAACTTCCACCGGGCGCACCTTGATCTTCCAGTTTCTGTCCTCTGCCTCAGCTGCCAAGTTGGCATACCGCAGCTTCTTACGCTCAAATGCCTCCTCAATTGCTTCCTCCCATGGTACCGTCAGCTCAATGACATACGCAAGTTTTTGGGAGTTAAACCAAAGGACGAGGTCTGGTCGCAGAGTTGTTGTTACGATCTCTGTGGGAAAAATTAGCCTCTGATCCAAGTCCACTTGCATTTGCCAATCCCTGGCAACCTTCAGCGGGCCCAGGTCTGGGGTTGAGGGGTTCGACCTCGGCTTGTCTCCCTCCCGGACAAATGCTGATGAAAGTTGGTGGTCCTCTTGCTTTGTGAAGGGTTGAGTGTTGATGGATTTCCTTTTGCGCTCAACTTTCTCAGCCAGACACCTGAGAACCTGGTTGTGTCTCCATGAGTAAGGCTAGTCCTACAACCAACCAAGATATGCTTGAGTGTGGCTGGGACTTTACACAGGAGGTAAATGGTAAATGGACTGGTTTTTATATAGCGCTTTTCTACTCTGTCCAAGCACTTTATACAGCTAATTCATTCACCCAATCACACAATCACTTCTAAGTTTAAGTGCTGAGTATCTAACATTCGTACACATTCACACTCCGATGGATGCATCGGAGAGCAACATGGGGTTAGTATCTTGCCCAAGGATATTTGGCATGCAGACTGGAGCAGCCGGGGATCGAACCACCGACCTTCTGGTTAGTGGCTGATCCGCTCTGCCACCTGAGCTACAGCCACCCACAAGGTGGTAGGCTGGGTCCTTTCAAAACCACATCTGCAGATTTATTGGGGAAGGTAGCACATCGTATGTGGCTCGGATGATGAAACGTAGTCTATTAGACTTCATTCCCCAGATTTCACTCCATGAGAGTTTCCTCTTTTCAACACTCTCCCAATTCATCCAGCGACCCTGCTTGGCCAGCGCTACGGCTCTAGCATGTCTGACTGCTTCCTCCTGTCGTCGCACCTCCTCCACTACTTTCGACATTCGGTTACAGATGCCTGTTGCCACCGAGGTGTTACTGCTCCAAGACCAAATCATCCTTTGTCCTGCTGGATGTGACCCACCACATCACGATGTTGAAGAGGAGATTTGGCCTGTAGCACAGATGTGGCTGGGTCCACTTCCTCCCCGTTGCTAGGGTGGGAGCAGTACCTCTCATTATGGGGTCCCGGGAGTGAGTGACATCTCAAGCTTCACTTTTGCACATTTAAACTCCTCTAGTGCAACGCTGCTGAGGCATTTGGGAAGTCCGAGCCACAGTCATTTTGGTGCAAAATTAAAACATTTATGACCAGTAAGCTCAGAAAGTTAAAGGTATTCTATGTAATTGTAGGATTTGCAGTCGAAAACTTGATAAATTGTGATAAAGCTCTTTGAGATGGCATATTAGGAAAAGTCTGAAAATAAATTCTTAAGGAGAACTAGTTTGTGCAAAAAAAAGTCACAACCGCAGATTAAAAGGGCTCGTTTTGTGGTTTAAAAGTGCCAAACACAGCAACAGTTGCCTTAAGGTGACTATAATGAAAGTTAAACAACTTTCATGTTAGTGTGTGTGTGTGTGTGTGTGTGTGTGTGTGTGTGCGTTTTAGCTGTGTTAGCCATATATATCAGCTGTAATCCTATTACTTCAGTGTGCAAATGAGAAACTGAATGAAATATTAGCAGAAGCCGAACTATTAAGAAGCTTCTTTGTTTATATGTGATGTAAAGGAGAAATCGGTATTCTCTGCCTCATTAAGTGTGTGGGAGAGACAATAATCCTTTATAGTTAATCTGCTTAACATGTCTGTCGGCTGAATTAGAAGCTTTCAAACTGTCCACTCGGGCTTCTCCCATGCATGGGAGAGAAAGGCTACATTTGGGATATTGTAAAGATTTAAAAGCTGAATTTTAGTGTAATTTCTCAGAGTCTTGTGAGCAGTCCTGGAAGTTCATGTCAAGGTTCTGAAGCAGAGTGTTCTGTACCATCTCCTGATGTTCCTGTGTGGGAGCTAGTGAAACTTCTCCAATTTTCCTCCCACAAAAATTCCTCAGTGACTTATCTCCCTGGGTGCTTAATCAGTTTCAACTCTGGGAGTATTCTTGTACAACACCTCGTAGTATGACACAATATTAGCCATCACCAGTGCCATTAATCTCCTTTAGGGTATCCATTCCATTGTCATGACAGTTCACTGACTTGATATGTAGTCCTCTGTGTGAATGGGCAGTGACAGACTACAGACAATGGATCTCAGTATTTCCACTTGTCCAAAGAAACTCTTTGCCAAAGTAAGCCGGTTAACTTACTGTTAGATGAATGCAAGAAAAAGGAATGATGCTCTCCACCGTGTGTTAAATATCCTGATTCGTTTTATTCCGTTTTATTTATGTGGCTCCAATTTCACAATAGCACTCATCTAAAGGTATGTATATATTCTCACAATATTTGAGACAAAACACCAGCAATCCGTCTCCTTTTACCAATAACTTGGCAATTGTGGGGAAGAAGAACCCTCTTTCCACGTTAAGCGACCTGCACCAAAAACCTTCATAGAGAATGTAACAAGTGATGAAGAGAAATATAAAGAAAATAAGTGCATAGATTTCCAAACCAAGAAATATGCTTTTAACATAGTTAGTCATGCTCAACAAAAAGAAGTTGTTTATAGCATCTACCCTACGTTCTTCAGAGATTTTGCGACATTGTCAGTGATGACATAAAATGGTTGGTACTAACTGCTGTGCACTCACAGGGAGTTCTGATCGCAGAATAATGAGATAAACCAATCAGTTTGTTTAGTTAGTTAAATAAACAGTAGCTTTTCATTCTGCTTTGTTAGTATTACCAATATCTTTGATAACAGACAATAGTAAAAGCTCACACACAATCTAGGTAAACACGTACATGTTTCAGATTTTTTTCAATTTGCTAAACTATAATAAAGGGTTAGTTTTCATGCGGGTTTTAATAACTGCATCAGCTGGCTAAATTCTGTCGCTGTCATTGAGCACGCCAAGTCAAGTTAAAACTTTCTGTCATTAGAAGTAAATCAAGAGTAATAAAAAGTGAGTAATAATGTTGTACTAATAAAGAATGAGCATGGTAACAATTGGATACTGAAACTGAAAGTTAAATCGAATTCATATATGCATCGTACTCAAATCATTGAATAAAGAACTTTTTTTAAAAGAAAATCTAAAATAAATAACATGGATACATGTTTGGAATCAAACCACATCGTTTGATGGAAGTAAAATGATTAACTTACTGAATTCAAAGCTGAATTATAGACACCCTGAAAATCCAAGTGGAAAAATGTGGCAGGCTAGTATATTTTGCTGAAATTTCATTGCAGCAACTTAGAATGGTGCTCAGTAGTTTTTGTGCTTGTATGCATGCCTGACAACATAAGGACATGCTCCGAATGAAGAGATGGATGTTGTCCTGCGGGATGTCCGCCGAGATCTGGACCAGAGCTCCTGGACAGTCTAAAATGCAACCTGGCGGCGTCGGATGGATCCAAATATAATATCCCAGAGTTGTTCTATTGGATCTATTGGTCAGGCGAACATGGGGACCTGTCAGTGGTTGGGCACAAACACTTGAACATTCTGCCCGAATAGTCTGTGCACAGAATGTTGGAACCTTGCATCTACTGCATCGCTGTAGCATCTGATGGTCGGTCCACGGATTTCATCCCAATACTTAAAAAGCAGTCAGGGTGCCATTGCCGGGCCTGTAGAGAGGTCTTTGCATCCTCCAGGGATATGCTTCCCCAGACCGTCACTGACCCTCCATCAAATCACTCATGCTGAATGACATTAAAGGAAACATTCTCAGTGACTTATCCAGACACTTCTAAGTTTGTCACATGTGCTAAGGGTGAACGTCTCTCTCATCTGTAAGAAGCACAGTGGGGGACCTGCCAGTTCTAGTATTCTATGGCAAATCCATAGTCCACCATACCAGACAGTTAACACAGGGCTAAGGACGCTGGGCTCTCTGTCTCCTGGAACGTCCTCCATGCTTTTGAGACTGTGCTCAGAGACACAACAAAGCTACCTGTGAAACAGCCAAGCGTCAATCGAAGTGTAACCTTCAATAACAGAAAATTAAAGAGCAACAATTTTACACTCAGATCATTTCTGTTTCCCTTTGGTTACACAGTCACTATTTATTCAGTGTTTTTGTTAGACACAATAAAATGTTTCTGCTTATTTACGGATTTATAACACGTAAAAATCATGATCAAAAAAACAAAAATAAGGTTGTTCTCCAAACTTAACTGAGAAAATAATAAGCAGGCTTTAGTAAAATGGGCCATGCTATAACTTTCGGTCTCTGGAGGGAAACATTGAAAATGGATCATTATAGAATATAAGAACTTTTTCCCAATTTCTCCTGTTCTCTCTTCAGGTTAATGGTATGTCTGTGGCTGGGATGCAGCACTCAGAGGTGGTGGCAGCCATAAAGGCCGGAGGAGACGAGACCAGGCTACTGGTGGTTGACATTGAGGCAGAGGAATTCTTCCAGAAATGCAATGTTATGCCCACTGAGGAACACATCAGTGGTACTACACTTTTTACTATGTTTCCTTAATATTTAGAAGTACAAAACATAAAATACTGAGGAAAATTATTTGAAACAGAGTGAAACGAGGACTTTTCTGTTTTGTTTGTTCTTGAAGGACCTCTTCCAGAGCCAATGGCAGAAGACAAGGTAAGGACCCCTTGCATGCACACACACACAAGCAGGATGCACAATGCATAGATGCTAATAATTTTTGTTCTCACCACTAGATGCCCTTTAAAAGGCTATTTTTTCTGCATTTACCAAAATAACAGATCATTATCACAGTTAAACAACCTAAAGAACAGAAAGTGTGTCGTCTACTTCAAAATACTGACGACAAACTAATAAATGAAACCAGTGAGCATGTGACTCAAAGTTATTAATGTTTGTCAATCATTCCAAACGAGACAGTTTGGAGCCACACCAGTCACACCCCCAAGGATGCTGTTTTGAAGGAAGGTTCAGAGGAGGTTGGAGATTGTTACCATCATGGGCTCATCCGGTCAGGATGAGAATGAACAGTCAGTAATCACTTGCAGGGTTTTTTGTTTTATTAAATAATGAGCAAAAGGAAAGACACACATGGACTCTATCTCTGAAAGGAAATAAAGTATGATTTAAGTAACTCAAAATAATACATGAACTCAGGAGACTCTAACAGAAACTCACCTCAGCTGCCGCCCCATGTGGCAGTGAAGAAAGAGTGAGCTATAGGTGAGTCCAGTCCTTATATAACGATTGACAGGTGAGTGAGGGCGAGCACCACACCCAATCAAAGGTGAGGAAAAGAAACAAGGTGCATCGAGTGAAGTGAGTGTGCTGAATGGTGAGCCTTTAACAGATGCTGTCTTTGAAGTCTACTATCTACCTGATTATAGCATAATGTTGAAAGTGATCATCATCACACAAAGCATTAGGACCAAAGCTGAAAGAAAAATCACATAATGTTATAAACAAAATATATTTAGTACTTCATGGAAGTAAACTGGCACTGTGCAGTGGTTCATATATTTGATGGCAAGTGAAAGCTCGCTGGTTTGAATCCAGTGGCAGAGACATTTGTGGGGTTGCATCTGGCATAAAAATCTGCCAACTGAAAATAGCGCCCCTAGTGGCTTTCTGTGGTCCTACACTTTAAGATGCTTTTGCATTGAGTTCCATTTAAAGCTCTGATTGTTTCTTCTTTGTCCCATCATTATTTGCATTACTTCAATTATACATGCTGCTTTGTACATGTCTGTATTCATAGTAGGGTTATTTTAAAGGATTTTGAATTTCCACATTAAATTGATCACGGTCGTTGCATTGACGTTAATATTAACGAGTCTTCTGCAATTGAAGAGATAACATTAAGCAGCCCGAGAGAGTGAAGCAGGATGCAGCTGTGTGACATAAACTTAAGTAACAAATGTCACATAAAGAGTTCAAAATGTAGCAGACTCACTTCTCAGCCTGAGAAAACCAGTGCAATGCCCCTTTAATTAGCACCGGCTCAGTCATCAAAATAAACACCACCCAGTACGTCTATACACACGCACACACACACACACCCAGTGACAACATGGGAATTGTGGATTGGCCCCTCTAGTGACATTGTGGCTGACCTCTTCACCATGGCAACAGGAGTAGAAGATCATGGGATTGCAGTGGCTTTAATTTGAGGATTATGCTAATGAGCAGCATTCACACACTCTCACATACAGCCAGACTTCTGTAGCAAACAATCAGTCATTCACCAGCTGTTATATAACATGAATCCATACCCTGACCTCTGACCTCCAGTGTGCCTTTTATCATCAGGTGGCCAATAGTCCTGCTTAGATATGCAGTAACTTAAAAGGCTTTTAAGTGGCATTAGTGCAAACGGAATACTATTAGAGGCGTCTGATGAAGACACCTTACAGCAGAGGGCTCCTGCTCGTGTGCAGCATGGGGCTGGGGTTATTTTTAGAGAAACAGCTGCTTCCACACTGGAGGCCAAATTTTCATAGATGAGGTGAGTTTCACACTGCATATCAGACAGGAGCAGGACTGTGTGCCGATCCCTGAACGGTCTGCTCAGAGAGAGGACTGCTCACACTGAGCCTCTGAATGACCAGCCCCCCCTGCTGGCGACACTCCCCTCTCTCTGCACATTTGGTCTTCATAATTATAAAGAAATGTTTGTGTGACTCTCGTAGAAGAAATACACCATGTCTGTATTCTTGTACTTCGATTGTTTGATGTAAAAACACAAAGTATAGCACTTTCCTACTCTCCCACAGTGCTCAAAGCTCTATACAACATTCACCCATGCACACAAGCACTGTCTATGTTTTAAAGTGCTTTATAACTACCATTCACACTCCAATGGATGCATCAGAGAGCAACCTGGGGTTAATATTTTGCCCAAGGACATTTGGCTTACAGTAGATCAGCAGATGACCTGCTCTGCCTCCTGAGCTACAGGTGACATTAACATTGAATGAGGATATTCAGAAATGTGCTTTTATTTTTGCTTTTTTGGTAAAGTTTCCTTTCTCTGGAAATTCAGAAAGGCTTATAATGAGCAGCTAGTTGAAATGAGCTACCTCTAAACTTTGAGTCTCCGCTGGGTTTGAAAAGAGTCTAGTTCTGCATAATCGAAATGTTCATGTCCTTTGAAGCTGAGATGCTTTCCGGATGGTGTTTTGTGCTGTGGATGAATTGACCCTTTTGAATGTGTGTTGTGTGTTTGGCAGATAAATGCAAAGCCTAAAGTATCTGCGAGCTCTTCCGTCTCCAGTGCCTCTTCCAGCAGCTCCCTACCAGCAGCAACAGACAACTCCTCGCCTTCAGAGGTACTGTCTCCATGCCACTGAAAGATTTAGAATAGTTTTAAAGCTCAGAGAAAAACGAACTTGTTTGAATATATGTGTGTTTCTAGATTGAAAGAGCTTCGAGGTCAGAGCCGGCCCCAGCCATCGACAGCCTGGGTCTTGCCTTGACAGTAGCTCAGGCCAAAGAAAGAGCCCAGCAGAAGCGTGGCGCCAAGAAGGCCCCGGCCATGGACTGGAGCAAGAGGAATGAACTGTTTAGCAACTTATAAACGCCACGGGCGTCCTCATGTCCTCCAGGTGGTTCTGTACTGCCATCCAGAGGCCAATCCAGAGAAATAATCAGCCCACGCTCTGAGTGAAAAATAATGTGACATCAAGCTTATTTTAAACTCCCATGTTAAACAGTATTACATGATGATTTATTTGTTTTAATTTAGGGTTTCTGTGACTTCTTAACTTTTGAATGACGTTTGAAATGTCAGCATCACACACAGAAATGAATGTTAATAATATATCAAGAAGAGAACTAGCAGTGTGCACTTTCTCATACGAAAAAGGAGCGTGAAAGGAATTTTGGGGCATAGGAACGAGAAATTATTATTTTTGACGAGTCGTGATTTTAAATCTGAACATTTTAGAAAGAATGTAGCACCTCTGTCTACTCTTCTTTACCTTGTTTTTTTCCGTCTTAATTTGTGATTCAAACGAGATTATTTTTCTTTTTAATGTGGCTTTTGATAAATTTGTATATACACACAAATGTATTCTCAAGGAAAAGAAATGTTCTGTGTTTTGTTGATTCTGCTGCAGTCTGTTCAGTTTTAAAGCTGCATCTTTTGGCTCGAGCGTCACTTACACACTTTCACTCCAATGGAAATATACAGAATGTACCGATGGCTCTGTGCTGTAGAATGTCTTAATGAACATTGATAAACATAGCATATCAATAAAATGGAACCCAGTCTGGTTTTTAATGCACATGATCAACCTTGAAAACACTGATCTGAAAGCAGCGTTCCTGAAATTCCTCTTATAACCGAGGATCCAGTGCTACTTGGGGCGATGAACCTGTGCTTGGTGAAGTTTTACCTGTTTTATACTCAGTGCACAGTCTGGTGCTCCATCAGAACAGTCCAAAAATTCCCTTTTTAATGGAAAATGTCATGAGGTGAAAGAAGAATGTGAAGGAGAATCCATAAGCACTGAGGCAAAGACGAACACGGTGAAAGAATGTGATTGCACTTACACTGAGCTGCTTTATAATGTGACAGCAGATGTTGGTGTTGCAGATGTCCAACAAAGCACATCTTAGATATTTCACCTTTATATGTCTTCAGTCTGTCGTGGTGAAGAGAGAGCTGAGTGTAAAAGCAAAGCTCTCGATTTACCACGTCCCTACCCTCACCTATGGTCACCAGCTGTGGGCAGTGACCGAATGAACGATATCGCGGCAGAAATTGGCTTCCTCCGAAGGGTGGCCTCACTGTGTAGGGATAGCTCAGTAGGTAGAGTGGTGGCCCCACGATCGGAAGGTCGGGGGTTTGATTCCCCTGAACAGTTACCCTGAGGTACCCCTGAGCAAGGTACCCTCCCCACACACTGCTCCCCGGGCGCCCAATGGCTGCCCACCGCCTCACTGAGTGCAGAGAGGAATGCAGAGAGGAAGTTCCCCACAGGGATCAATAAATACACTTTCTTTCTTTCTTTTCTAATTCCTGGGGTAGAAATGAAATATTTATCACAGAGGTGATATTAACACTTTATATTAAGAAATGTTGCCGACCATAAATTGATTGACCCAAAATTCAGTTGTATTTTGTTTATATAGTGCCAAATCACAATAGCAGTGGCCTCCTGAATTGTGGGATGTACTAGGTTTTACACATCTGTTCACATCTGTCTGTATTTACCACATTTGTAGAGTACTAAGGAGCCGACTATGAAGCAAGTTTAACAGGAGCGCTCAGAGAGAAGGGCTATCCTAAAACGTTGATGTTCCACAATTTTATATTACAACGTGCTGACGTCAGCCTGTTATGGACTCACAGTGATGTCACAGGGCGCTGTTGTCAACTTTGACTTTGGGCAGATGCCCAATGTGCATAACATTGGAACTGGAATATGCATGTATTTAGCTGGTGGTGCAAAAAAATCTATAAATGTATTTGCACTTGATTTGAATATTCTGCCAAGTCTATTTTGAACTGCTACAATTGCATCTACTAGGGAAAAAAACACATAGTTTAGATTTGCCAATAAACTAAAACAATGTCTCCGTCTCTATTAGGCTATGGGACAGTAACCTTTAATGTTTAAATGTATCCAGTTTCAGAGCTCTAATGTGCTGCCATTACCTTAAACATCAACAAAAGCACACTCAACGTTTCAATGATTCATTTGAAATGAAGTGTTTATTTCACTGCTCAGTGAGCTGAGCTGCAATAATCTATTTTTATTCCTAACTGCCCATTATTCTGTTGTTTGATATTCTTTTTAATCTATTCTAACAACATCCTCTGATTCAGCCACTGATTGGAGGAGGCAGAACTCAGAGATCATTTTGTGCAGAGGAGTCAAATGATGCATATAATGCCCCTTTTCATGGTGATTCCCATCATATCCAGTCAGGTTTTTGTTTGTTTTATTAAGCCTCTTGGCCACAGAAAATAACATAAAGGTGGAGAAAGACAACGGTGGTAATAATTGTGTCTTTACCCAACAATATAAAGGGACATGAGGTGACGGTTGTGTGAACTCGCCTTGTAAGTTCACACTCCCTTTATTGCTAACAGCCAAACTATATTACCTACATATATTACTGTTATCAGCATATCAACTTTTTATGGTGATGATGTACTTACAGCTGCTTCTACAGCCCCAAAAGAAAAAAATATTACATATTCCTTCAATTATCTTATGCAAATTAAAGCCATAAGATGTGACTGAACACAAAAAGCTGCTAAATGTACAGAGATGAGGTTATGGATCAGCTGTAAACTGTAAACAATGTATGCATCAACTATATGGCACATCAAAAGCTCTGAATGAGAATGAAAAAACAAATGAAAAATCTTGAAATAGTAATGCATATTTTATATTGACAAGCAAAACAACAGCACCCTGTCAGTACAAATCCCTTTAATTATTTCTGGTTTGACACAGAATTCAGAAGGAAACATTAATAAACAAAACAGAAGAGCGAAACCACAGAGAAAAAAAGCTGTTGCATGAATGTGAACATGCTTGATATCTTAAAAAAATGTAAAAACATGACAGCTTCCATTAACCAAATCTTCCCAGCAAAGGTTTGGGAGAGAGATTCAACTCCATTCTCTAAAAGAGAATTTTAAAGTGAATCGGTACAGGAGTAACTGTCAGTGCTACAATAGATTTAGCATCTGCTGACAAACGTCTTCACTGCAGCAGGAACAAGCGATTGTTCTTAGAGAACAAACAAACAGAAGAACAACAATCCAAAGTGAAGTTCTTATCAAACTTTGCTGGTTATTTACAGTTAGGAGACTGGTCCCTGCTCTGTACGGAGGCTGAAGTATGCCAGAGTAATTTAACTGATACAAAACTCAAAGTAATCATTTTCTCAATTTACAACTCAGTTCTACAAATTAAACCAGTTTGATCCCACAAACTAAGTCTTCTATTTTCTTCTTTAACAACAAACAGTTTCTCCGGCCCCGGCTGAGCAGGTGAGTGAGCTGGTGGTGGACGCGGAGGTTGCTCAGCGGCCCTCCTCCGGGGAGCAGGAATGGGTGCAGGCACCAGCATGCTTCCACCTGAGGAGTGGGTACGGGTGTGGAGGCAGACGGCATCCTGGCTGGCCTCACCCTGGGGACCGGAGCAGTTGTGGTGTATGGCCAGAATCATAATCACGTGCATCCGGCACTCGGTCTGGTCCTGCAGTTCATCCACTTGTCAGCGCGACACCGCCCCCTGCTCCCTCCATGTGGCCACCAGCCCCTCCCCTGCCCCGCCACAGAGCGTTTGTGACATATTTTGTGAGCCTATACTGCATTCAAAGACCTATAAGAGTGTAAGACAAAAGCAACTAATTGCTAAATGTTGTCAGAAATCTGGCACATAAAACCTCTGTGGGATTTAGTCTGAACACTGCTGGAACAACATTTAACACTGAACGAAAAAAAATGGAAACAGGAAATGCTAAACGATTGATTGTGAAATTAAAATGGGAGAGACAATGTTCTAAAAAAATTAAAAGCCTCTTAAAAATTTGATGTCAAATTCACATCGAGTTTGTTCATTTAAATATATAATCAAATATATAACTATCAGTTAATACGCCAATTAAACATTTTGGCAGCAAATGAAGACTCCATGTTCAGTCTGAGTTCATTAACATGTTGCCTTCCACGAAATGTTTTGGCCACTGCTGAAATGAAACATGCTGACGGTACCACACCAACCTGAGATGAGCTCTGTTACTAAATAACTTTAAAACCGATCAGCATCTGTTCTTACTGACAGTAACAGTGCTTTAAAGAACAACAACAACAAACACTTGTGTTAAAACAGGTCCACGCCAATCCAATGTACATTTATGAAATATGATTCTTTCCCTATATTAAACAATCATTTCCCCAACATACAGACCATAAGCAGCAAAATATACATATTAGTTCATCTTGCTAATATACAATAGAATGGGTTAAAGCAGCCAATAGGAACTCTTTTGGTTAAAAAACCCAACATATATAAGTATAAATATAATCACAGGTCAATATGTTCAGTATAAAGATATTTGACTACACACATAAACACGTGTCTGTATATACACAGGTTACATGGATACAACGGACTCTTATTCCCTTTTAGTGATACTGAAGATACAACATCGGGAAGCTCTTCTGGCGGCTGTTTGTACTCCCTCCAATAACTTTCCCAGGTGTGTGTCCTAAGGCGAAGTGCTCACGTTCAAAAACAGAGGAAAAGCTGTGCAGGAAAGTCCTCAAATATTCACAAACTGATTGATCTTAAACCCCAGGAAGTGCTGAGCTCCACGCTCTCTGTTCTTCCCCTCTGACCCCGTGCTCACTGTTCGGGTTTCTGTCTGCTGCTCCCTTGAGACAGAAACTTTTTCTGTGTGCAGGACAGAAGTTGCGAGGTCACTCCAACATGGCGTCCAGTTGGTCGGCCAGGTCATCAAACATGTTGCCAATGTCATCCAGAATATTGCCTGCTGCCTTCACTGTGGTGCCCCCACTAGGAAACAGAGGGGACAATGTGAAGTAAAAAAAACAGTTAAGCTAACTGTCAAATTAACTGGTGATTAAGAACAGCTACAAATGTGAGATAAAGTGTTTGTATAGTGTATAGTATAGAGAAAAAGCACTATATGAATGCATGGTATCGTGTAGCTTGTAGTCAAGCACTCTGGCACCATGGCAACCATGTCTGTCTAAAACAGACCAATCACTTTAAGGACATTAGGGCTGCCACGATTAGTCGACTAGTCACGATTACGTCGACTATCAAAATCGT